TGAAAGTGATCCTGGAGGTGCTATATGTGTAGCACATCACTACATCATGCTTCACTGTTTAACGTGTCCTATCAAATTGTTATTCCAAATGAGTGGAGAGACTAGACTCCATTTGAGAGCTAGGACAGCAAAGGGAATTAGGCATCTTGGTCACTGCCCCATCACATGGAATCTGGCACCGAGTTGATATGTAGGATGAACTCAGGGATGATGAATTTGAGAGATAGGAGAGAGTTTAGCAATCATCTAGTTCAACATGCTTATTTTAAAAATGGCAGAATGGAAGCTCAGAGAAGTAAAGTGGTGTGTCCATGGTTCACAGAGAATTAGTGGCCAGTTTGCCTAATGTCCTGTTCAGTGGTGCTCTTTCTACTTCACTGTCATACCTGGAGCTCTGTAGTTGCTTATAGCTCTAAGCCTTAATCTAATTAAAATAGTCCTTTGAGGTAGGTTTATCCTAATTTACAGAGGAGGAAACTGAGGCATATAGAGGGTAAATAATTAACCAAGATCGCATGGAACCTTTTTAATAATCTACATTCTCACATACAAAATGGGAATTAAAATATCAATCTATGGAATGGTAAGAAATTAGGGAGTTAAAATTTGTGAGATAGTATATCATGAGCTATTAATTTATGTGTTTCTTTCCTTCACTTTCACTTCCTTTCACTTTTTGATCCTCTTTTATTTAGGCAGCTAGATAAGAGGGAATCAGAGAATTGACCCAGATATCAAAGACTAAAATTCTTAACTCTTAGTTTAAAAAAAGTCCTTGCAGTGAATATTTACCTTTTTTTTTTTTTGTCTGTTAACAGTTCTGAAGCCCCTCTTATGTTAGGGATTCTTCAATCACACAAGTCTTGGTGGAAGGCAGTCTCCTGCCACTCACTGTGGAAATATATGGTGGTTGGATGTTCCATCTTTCTGCTACCTGGCAGCCAGCTTGCGGATGTGTGAACTCCTCTTGGCTCCCACCAAAGACTGTGTGTGAAGGTGGTGATCCAGGGATAACTAGTGGTTAGTCACAGTGGTAACAAAGGCATGCTCAGGGGTGGCAAGGCCCTAACTATTCAGTGTTTGGTTTCTGCTGTCCAGCTCTTTGTATTCTCAGCTGATTCTCCAGCCTTCCCAGTGATTCTGTGAACCATCCAGTATTGGTTCAGTAAATTCCTTTTCTGCTTAAGTTAGCCGGAGTTGTTCACAGCAAGAGCCCAGACTGCTACAATCCAAGTTTAAGACAGAAATATTTGAAACCGAACCTGCAAAACAAATTTTCTCCAACAGAGAAGTGACAGAGCCCTTGGTGACAGAGAGCTGGATAAGTAGGGATTTCAGAGAAGGGACTGTGTCTTGCTCTCCCTCTCACTCTGGTAACAGAATGGAGAAGTTTGCGTTCAAGAAGCGAAAGGATATGTGCCCCATTCTCCTCGAACCCTCGGAGGAGGCTGCCTCCTACAGGTTCCTCATGCTGCCAGTAGTGGAAGCTGAGAGTTAGGGTGGCTTCACTGGGTAGGGTACCAGGTAGTGAGGAGGCCCACAGCTGAGCTGCCCATCTGGTCTTCCGTTACTTTCAGAACAGCTAAGTTTTCCTGTGTCCTGTGGAAGGTGTGGAAGTTGGCTGAGGGGAAGAGGAAGGATGAAACTAAATAGCACCAGAAAACAGGAGGGCCAGTGGAACTGAATGGGTCTTAGGATTCTACCTAGGGGTTTACAGCAGAGGGTGGTATTGGTCGCATAGTCAAAGACAAGGTGGATATACAGACATCTTGGTAGTGCCAGTCTGGAAAGGTGGCCACACATGGAAACCAGGTGAGACTAAACAACTCAGGTATCCTGCAGAAGAGAGAGGACAATCCCAGACCAAAAACACCTCTATCCCCAACGCTGACACCAAGACATTCTATAAACCCCCTGGAACTCAGGTCAGTCCAGGGAGGAGGGAGAAAAGGATAGAAAGAAGAAAACCTGGAACTGACTTAACAAAAGTAGCAATGATTGAGAAAACCCCGGCGGTTGGAGTTTATCCGGAATCGATGAGATTATGTTTTCTGCCACTGGTGAACTGGAGTTCAAGATAGAAAAGCAGAGTCGCATTTTTGCAAACCTGAGATTTGTGCTTTGATTCAGAAAAATTGCTTTTAGTAATTCAGGCTTTGGGCAGACATTATGATTAGGAAGGTGTCCAGTGCCGTCCTGGTCAGGAGGACCACACAGCTAAACAGTTTCATCTCTGAGCCACTTCTCTGTGGTGATGGAAACAAGGCAGTCCTCAGCTTTCTGGAAATGTATTCAGTTCTGGTGCATGCAACTTTATACAGCTGGGATGTAGCCACATTGGTAAACAATTCACGGGACTGTCTGAGAAGCGTGATGAAAACCATAGTCAGAACACCAGCATCCCTGATACACAATGGAGCTGCTTGCAGAGAGCACCTGGACAGCCATATGGGATTCCATTCCTTTTTTTCTTGACATTTCATATTTAAAACAGTTTAAAAAAAATTTTAGATACCTTTCCAGGGTAGCAGTTGCAAGCTGGATATTGAGAATATCTATTACTCTTTGTCATGGATTTGAAGGACTGGTTAACTAGTGATCTGTATGGGTCTGGCAAATGGAAAAGTTTTAGAGATGCTTAGCATCACCTGCAGTTTTCCATCACTTTCTATTGTTCTTTGAGATTCAGTTTTCTCCTGTGCAGGAAGTTGCATCCTCATATGACTGATGGTAAAGATTCAGCTTTGGGCCTTTGCCAAACACTCACAACTGAGAACTGCCCAAGAGAAGCCAATGTGGTAAAAAGAAAGAAATAGTAGGACTGATGACTATTACTAACTTTTATTGTCCCCACTTACACACACGGACCAGTTCCTTTTCAACACAGCCCTGGCTATATCACTTGAGAATACAGGCTGTCTAAGTGTACACTATCCTGCACTAACTTTGGAGTCTGAAGGTGTTTGGTACATGTGTTGAGGGGTGAGAATGAGGTGAATTTGGAGTTAATAGAAGAAATGAAAGTGAGTCCTGGGATTCTGTAAGGCTGATTTTTCTCTGATGCTGAATGTGGTGCTTTGGTGTGTGCTGGAGTGGAAATAGAAGTCGGGCACAGTCCAGACCACATAGAAGTAGATTAATGTCCCTCTTTGAATGAGGCTTAGAGGATCTGGTCATTTGTGGGAACCTTCACACTGAGGGTGAGCAGGTGTGGGAAGGACCTTTGAAAATGCCTCTGAAACACATGCAGGGTGTGATTCCACCTCGATTGGGAAGGTGAAAAGCCAGAGTCCTGCTGGTCTTCTGTGATGAGATTGGAGAGGTGCCTCGACCTAACTAACCAAGCCTCGCCCTGAGCTTGGGGCAGTGGGAGGCTTAATCATAGCTCTGCAATTAGCCTTTTGCATGGGATCCCGATCAGTCCCTTCACCTCTTTATGCCTCAGTTTCTCCTCATGGACAGGAGATGATTTACTAGTTCCCTCCCTCCTAGAGGATTAACTTCAGAAGGAAAGGAGAATGTGTTGTGGACCATTTGTTTTGTGTGTGGCAGTTTCAAGTTATTAGTTTTTAAAATCAGTACTTTTTAATGGAAACAACTTGACCAAAAATCTGTCACAGGATTTGAGACCCATTAAAAAAGTTTAATGAGAAGCCTGTGTTTTCTTTTGGTCAACACTGTAACTTCCTATTGTACTACTTAGGTAAGAGTTGTCCGTAATCTATTTCTGGTATTAAGTCTACTGAAAAAAGAATTTTATATTTATGGGTTGGAGCTTCAGGTTTCTTACCCTTGTGTAAGGAGAATTCACCTGTTTTAAGTACATCATAGAAAGGCGGTACAACACAGGTTAGGACAGATAAGTTAGTTTACATAAGCTAGTTTGTAAGGTCATTCTATAATATGAAAGCTCATGTTGCATCAAAAAAAAAAAGGGCTTCCCTGGTGGAGCAGTGGTTAAGAATCCGCCTGCCAGTGCAGGGGACACAGGTTCGAGCCCTGGTTCGGGAAGATCCCACATGCTGCAGAGCAACTAAGCCCGTGTGCCACAAGTGCTGAGCCCGTGTGCCACAGTTACTGAAGCCTGTGCGCCTAGAGCCCGTGCTCCGCAACAAGAGAAGCTACTGCAGTGAGAAGCCCGCGCACCACAGCCAAGAGTAGCCTCCTCTCGCCGCAACTAGAGAAAGCCCACGCGCAGCAACGAAGACCCAACACAGCCAAAAATAAATAAATAAATTTAAATATATATATAAAAAAGGAATCCTCAGCATTTTCACACATCAAATTCTTCATGAGAGCTTAAGAGCACTGTTATCCCAGCAGCATTTCATCTCTAAATGTTAATTTAATATATATGTTCTCTACTAGCCATGATAATTCTTAATATCTTAATATCCGTGTGGTAGGTTTAATGCAATAGAAAAAGAGTGTCAGCCTGCACTTGCACTTCTGAGGCTGGGTCAGCATATGCCCCAAAAGTGAGACACGAAGAATTAAGTCAGTCATCTAGATTCTGGCTTCTTGGTATTGTGCAGACAAATTATCTGGCTCAACATCGTGTTTTGGAATGTGTCTATGTGTGTATGTTTGTGCATTGTGTTTCTGTCAAGTGCGTGACCTAAATCATTCTTCTTGGGGATGTGTTCAGGCTCAAAGCTCAGCTTTGTGGCAAATTCCGGTTTTCTCGCTCGAGTGTTCCAGGTGCTGATTTCTGTTTCTCATTTCCTCCTCTGATGCCTTATCTCTTCTGTTCTTGTGCCTCTCATCATGTAGCTGGAGGCTGATGGGCTGAAGTGATTAGGCCCACAGACCCTGAGCACCAGGCCTGCTTCAGCAGCACCTGCTACCCCTTTATTTCTTGTTTCTCTCAACCTCAGATCCTGCTCTTTTATTCATCTGCTATTTGGCAGTCACCCTACATTTCATTCCATCACCATGGGGATGAGGCCAGGGGCAAACCAGAAATGGCAGTTTTTTTTTTTTTTTTTTTTTTTTTAACAAAAATAAACAGTGGTTTTATTGATTACATATATTTTCAACTCTAGTAATATATATTATAAACTTTAAGAGTTAGCAATAAATGGCTGTATTTTTTACCAAGAATAACCTAGGCTATGGCAGCATGTTGAAATCCTGCACAGTCATCAACTATCTATTTTTCAGAAAATCAAGAAGTCATCATCCAAGCTTTGTATTAGGTCACGAGACAGTTACCCCTATAAACACATTTCATTAAGTAGAAATAAGATACTACACGTTTTCTTTTTTGGCAAATCCTCCCTTTCTGTCATACAGATATATCCTCCCAAAGTTATTTTCTTATAATGTACAAAACTTATTTTTTATCCACAAGAGTTGTCTCAAATAACTTTCACCCTGGAAAGCTCAAAGGCATGAGGCAGTAACAAAATGCTACTCTGGACTCTGTATTTCACTTTTGCCTAAAACTCCATTTGATAATTAAAACTAAATTAATCCCACATTATAATACTTACTTAGGAAAGTTTTTGTGTACATGTTTGCCACAAAGATGGAAAATGTCAACTCATCTGAGCAAGTATTTGGCAGATCACAGAAAGAAAACAGGGCTGTAGGAAATGAAAATGCTTCAGTGTTTAACAGCTGAAGAGACTGATGACTGTCACTCCAATTTCTCATCTTCTTCCACGTCTTTCAAATTGAGTACTTCCAAAGAGCCTTTGCCTTTTGTCTCCTTTTTTACGAGCTCATCGATTTCTCGGAAGCAGCCAGGGTCGATGAGACACACAATAACTGTTGACCGTAGTCTTCACTTTCTATAACCTTGATGAGTGGCTTGAGTTTTTCTTTCAGCTTCTTCCCTTCATTCACTGGAAGAATGAAACGAAGTCTCATGTGAGCACGTTCTATCTTCATTTTCTCCTTTAACTGCTTTATCACTTCCAAAGCCTGCTGTTTTGTACTCTTGTTGGGTTTGACCGAATAGTGGATGTCCTTCATGGCTCTCTCGATAAGGATAACGGTATACGGCCTCTTTGTTTCAGGGTTCACACATTTGTCGGCCACAATAGTTGCAATGTCCCTAAACATCTGCTCCAGCTGTGTGTGCCATTCTTTATCTGACACTTGAACCTCTCCTTTAGTTAAAATCTGCTTACAGATTTCAGTCTGGTCATCTGTTCCAAACGCACTGATGAGATGTTCCTTCTTTGCAACCTGACCTTTAGAGACATTTACAAACACTGAGTGCGTCTGCAGAACTTCATCAAGGTCTTTTTCCACGCCGCTCCGCCAGCCCACGACTTTGTTTTTGTAGCAGGCGATTTCGAAGCGCTTCCCGGCTCGCTTCATTCGTACTACGGCCACATTGGTCAGGCGGATCTGGTTGGTGGGGGTGAAGATCGACATCGTGGCCGCTCACAGACCTTGGGTCCGGCGAACCAAGGCAGACCCGCGCTTTCGGCCTGAGGGCCAGCTGAGCCTCGATGTAACCACCCGGCGGCGCGCGGCACAGTGACGCCCGCAGACTGCGCAGCGCCCTGACTAACTCGGCAGCCACAATACACCCAGGCAACTTCAGTTGCCTTGTTTGATAGACCAACTTTCCAGGAGGCCATGGCCCAAAAATGCAGGCGATGGTGCAAGGAGAACAGGTCAGCTGTGCATTACTAGGCCATGTCTAGATATATAGAAAGTAGCCTTTTTCTGTGCCCTGCCACTAAATTCCACTCGCCTTGATTAATATTCACAGAAGGGCATACAACTTTTTAAAAAATTGTGGTTAAAATGCACATAACACAAAATTTACCATTTTTACAATTTTTAAATATACAGTTTGGTGGCCTTAAGTACATTCACAATTGTGCAACCATTACCATCATTCATCTTCAGAACCCTTTTCATCTTGTAAGACTGCAACTCTATACCATTAAACAATAAAGATTTTTAAAATATCCATTCTCCTAGTCCCTGGCAACCACCATTCTATGTTCTGTCTCTGTAGATTTGACTACTCTAGGTACCTTGTATAAGTGGAGTCATGCAGTATTTGTCTTTTTGTAACTGGCTTATTTCACAGGGCATAATGTCCTCAAGCTTGTAGCATGTGACAGGATTTTCTTCCCTTTTAAGGCTGAATAGACCATATTTTGTTTATCCATTTATCCATTGATGGACATTTGGGCTAAGGTTGTGCAACTTGTATGTGAGGTGGTAAAAACACCACAACCTTTATGGTCAGACAGATTTGGGTTCCAGTTGTGGCTCTGTTACTTTTTAGTATGACCGTGACAAAGTTTCTTAGCCTCTCCTTAAAAAAGTACTTTAAAAAATTTAAAGTATATCTTACATACAGAAAAGAGTATAACTTACATGTCCAGTTTGAAGAACGATAATATATAATATAATAGTAACAACAATAGAACAAGCAGCCACATACTAGCCACACAGACTAAGAAACTGAACATTACTCCAACCTTTGAAACCCTTCAGTGCCCCTCCTGGTGCCCCTTCACAGCTTTTTCTTGACCTGAACATTTGTTCACATTATTCCTTTGTTTTTCTTTCTTTATTATATGTGTAGATCTCTAAACAATGTATTATTTAGTTTTGGTGTGATTGTTAAACTTTATGTAAGTGTAATTCCACTGATTTTTTTCCTCCAAGCTTTAAGTTTTGAGATTCATTTATGCTGAGTGTGTCACTGTAATTGATTCATTTCCATCATCATAAAAGTATCCCACTCCCATTCTATGGGCATTAGGTTTATTTCCTCCCTTCCTTCCCTCTTTCCTCCCCCCTCCCTCCCTCCCTCCCTCTCTCTCTCTCTCTCTTTCTTTCTTTCTTTCTTTCTCTCTTTCTCTCTTCCTCTTTCTCTCTTTCTTTCTTTTCTTCCTCCCTTCTCCCTCCCTTCCTCCATGTCTTTCTTTCTTTCTGCTACAAACTTCTCTGAACTTTCATGCACATATTTCCTGGTACACAGGTGCAAGAGTTTGTCTAGCGTATCTACATAGCAGTGAACTTACCTGAGCATAGGGTATATGCAAGTTTCTAGGTAATATTCAATTATTTTCTGAAGTTGTGCTCTCCCAAGTTGTGCTTCCACTGTCAGTATATGAACATCTCCATCAGGTCACATCTTTGCCAACATCTGGCAATGCCATTAAACAATTTTCTTCCCCTGGTGGGGACACCTGGTGGGTGTGAAATGGTCTTACACTTTCTTTTCAAATACTTAATCTCAGTTATCTTTATTGAGCACTCTCTGGTGATAAGTGCAATGTATATAGTGCACAAATGAGAATTATTTTAAAACAAGATTTTTCTTCCATGAATGTGAACCTGGTTGAACAACATAACAACATAGATACTTGCTAACTCTATGTAGAGATGACCTCTTGTTGCTGGGAATCAATACTGATATAAATATTGATTAATCCCTAAGTCGACTTCTTACCTTCATCCAAGGAGGAATGGAGACTTCTTCCAAACCGTTGTGTCAGTCATCCAGAAATATCTATCAGGCTTTGACTAGGGACATAACAAAGCGTGGAGAAATTACATGTCTTAATTTATTAGTAAAGGGGAAGAGAAACACAAGGGAGGGTCTACTGAGTTCAAGACAGAGTGATAGGTACTTTCATATATGTTAATCCCCACAATATACTCTTCAAAAGAGGTATAGCATCTGAGTTCTTAGAGATGGGGAACTAGACCCAGAGAATTATCAGTCAACTAAAAATATATTATAGTTCTGAGTGTGTTCCAAACACTATCCTTGAATACAAAATGAATATACAAGGTTCCTGCTCTCAAGAATTTTATACTCAACCTGGCAAGGAAAACAGATGTGAATACAACTGTAATTGCATTTTCATGTGTTAAGAGGTGGGCTTCCCTGGTGGCGCAGTGGTTAAGAATCTGCCTGCAAATAAATGCAGGGGACATGGGTTTGAGCCCTGGTCTGGGAAGATCCCACATGCCATGGAGCAAGTAAGCCCGTGCACCACAACTACTGAGCCTGTGCTCTAGAGCCTGCGAGCCACAACTACTGAGCCCGCGCACTGCAGCTACTGAAACCCACACACCTAGAGCCTGTGCTCCGCAACAAGAGAAGCCACTGCAATGAGAAGCCCGTGCACCGCAGCTAAGAGTAGCCCCCACTCACTGCTACTAGGGAAAGCCCGCGCGCAGCAACAAAGATCCAACGCAGCCAAAAAAAAAAAAGAGGTATGATAGAGGTATACTCTATATACAGTGAAGGCTTCTCAGGGAAGAAGACACTTGAACCAAGCTTTGAAGGGTTAATAAGAGCTGGTCAGGTAGCAAGAAGGAACACTCCAAGTAGAGGGGACAGCATGAGCAAAGTCATGGGTATGAGAAACAGCATTCCCTTTCTCAGGAAAGTGCAAAAGAGGACAGTATCTGATGCAGGGAGATTATAAGGGATGGGAGCAAGGGTAAGAAAGAGGATTTTTGGAGACAGGCCAGGGTTAGATCTTGTAGGACTAGTGGGAGTCCTAGAAAGGAGTTTGAACTTTATGGGAGCCTTCAATAAGGCAGGGGAGTAACATGGTTGGATTTTGGTTCTAGCAAAATCACTTGGATGGCTATATAGATCGGTGTACAAGGCTGGGTGCAGGGAGGTTAGGATATGGTAATGATGATTCAAGTAAGAGATGAGGAAGGCAGAGGCAACAAAGGTACATTTCGATTCTGTTCAGGTTTTAGTGACTAGTGGACGCGATGGCTGAGAGACCTGTCAGTATTTAGGCATCATTCACTGAGATAGTGAATAAAAGGTGAGCAGGTTTGAGATGAATGGATAAAGAAGATGTGGTATAATGGGGTACTACTCAGCCATAAAAAAGAATAAAATTTTGCCATTTGCAGCAACATGGATGCATCTGGAGGGTATTATGCTAAGTGAAATAAGTCAGACAGAGAAAGACAAATGCTGTATGATATCACTTACATGTGGAACCTAAAAAACACAACAAACTAGTGAACAAAGCAAAATAGAAGCAGACTCACAGATATAGAGAACAAACCAGAGGTTACCAGTGGGGAGAGGGAAGGGGGAGGGGCAACATGGAGGGGGGAAAAGAAGGCTTATTATGGGATTATATAAAATCATGTGTGTGAAACTTGAAAATTATAAAGCACTATAGAATATAAAGCCTCTTTCATTCAGTAAAAAAATCAATTAAAATTTTTTGATTTCAAAAGGTTAAAAAAAAGGTGAGCAGGTTTGGGGTGGGATGTGACAATGATTTCAGGGATGAACATGTTCAGTTTGTGGTGCTTGTAGGACATTCAAGCAGAAATGTCTAGTAGGTGCTTAGAGTTTCTAGGCTGACTGACTCATTTTACTTTACCTGAGATTTTCTCAGTCTTAAAGTCCTGAGTCTCAAAAAATCCTTCAGTCGGAGAATGGGATGGCCTAAAATTCAGTAGAGTCTGGGCTAGAGAAACTGGTTTGGAATTTATGGAAGCCAAATGCACGGATGAGCATCCATAGGGAATGTGGAGAGTGAGAAGAGAACGGGGCCAAAGATGGCTCCTGAACAAACCAACCTTTGATGAACAGCTGAGGAAGAGGAATTCATGAAGGAGCTCAGCAGGGAAGTCCAGGGAAGCAGCAGAAATCTGAGGTGGTGAGGTTGTGAAAGCCAAGGGAGAAAAACATCTGTAAATGAAGGAATTGTCAGCTGTACTGAAGACTGCAGAAAACTGACTATCGGATTGGATTTTAAAAGTAGTCAGGACTGTTTGTAATAACAGATTCATTTTGTAATAGGAATGAAATCAGCAGAGGGGTGACCAGCAAGCAAAGAAGGGGGCACAGACTTTTAAGAAACTATATGGTGAAGTGACAGAGAAGAGTTGTATAGTATAGGACACAGTGATTAGAGAGAGTTTTGAAAAAATTAGAGAGAGAGGAGCTTGATTATATGATAAGAGAAAGAAGTCAGTGGAGAAAGAGATCGAAGGCACAGGGAGGATAATTGTTAGAGTAACTGGGAGGGATGGGGTCAAGAAATGGGTTGGACCGCAGCAGACTCCTCTTTTGAGACCAAAGATATCAGTGTGTGGAGGGAGTTTGTGGCAAGGTCATGTAGCCACTTAGCCACAGATTTGGGATTTGAATCAATGTGTGCCAGACTTCAAAAGCCATATTATTTTCACCTCATCACAGAAAAATATATTCAAGCTCAATAAAAAATGTCTACATATATGCTTAATCACTTAGTGCTACACACAGATATTGGGGAAGTGATTAGAGCAATTGGAACCAGGTATAGTTCATCTGGGGAGCTTAACAGGAAAGGTGAACTTTGAAGAGAATTCTTCGAGAATAGAAGAAATGGTGAGGCAAGAATTAGTTTAACATTTAAAAAACTTAAGTTGTTCTTCAAACCATAGTTCCTTTTAAGAAACTTGCCTTGACAAAATAAGAAATTTGCTTCTTGTCCTTACTAGTATGTAGATTCTCAGTAGATGAAATGGATGTAGAAATGTATTTATTCCATGTAGCAGCAG